AAGTTGTCCTGTTGCGTCAGCTATATTCACTGATTTAAGTTTTTCTTACAAATATATTTTTGGTCCTTAACTGGGATGACGTGTCGTCGCAGTAAGCGACGCGAATTTTCAATTACTTTTTATCAAACAACAAATGCTTATCTACCTAGCTATTTTGGGGAGGAACAAAAAAACAAAAAAACAATTCATTTACAGATTATTACCTATCTTAAGTTCGTTATTTTTGTTCAATTGCTGGACTTTTATTACAAATTCAATAATACAAAACAAAAAAAAAAAAAAACAAACTAAAAACTAATATACATATGCATACGCATATGTAATATAAAAAATACAAATACAAATAATAATTCAATTAAATAGTTCAACAATTATATATTTCATAGTTTTAACAATTACAACAAATTACCGTACTAATTCTATGCGCAATAAATACAATGTCGGCTATTTTCTGCAGAGCCGCACAAAGTGAAGCGAACTATGGAATCTTGTTTTCCGGGCGGGTCGAAAGGCAATATCATCGAGTTCATTAAATAGATGCCAAGGCAACAACAGTTTTCATATGATATACTTTTTTATTGTTTTAATTACTGGTCGATATTACATATATATTTTCTGTTAATATCTAAAACAAATTCAATATCTATAAGCTAGTATAGGTTTTCTATATGTCTCTGTCCAAATATAAGAACATGCCTCTCTGGGGTTTGATTTATTTTCCGACATAGCTAAATAAAACTGCGCTACGCTAAAGCTAATCAATATTAAGCATAATTGAGCCAACGGGCCATGCTAAAGCTAGATCAAAGCAGCAAAGTATTACTGATGATAAGGCTAAAAGTGCCCTTTTATAACTACGTATTGTTTACAATTATTGTAGATAGCGTATACATTGCAGCATCTTATAAAAAACGTACGAAAACACCGAGCCGATTGGCTCAATTTCAGCAACTGTCACCTCTTATAGCGTAGTAATGCGTAAATATATATGCACATAAATATTTATATGCTTAAATTTTAGACATGGGCTTTCAATTTATATGATTGGCAGTTATACAATTGTCATCAGTGAATATATCATAAAGTGCAAACAATTTTACAAACGCTTTGGCAGCCAATTTCATAAACTTAACAATTTACGTATGTTTGCATATGTGTGCGGTGCTGTGTTTGGTCGTCTGTTTACTTTTTTTTAATTGTTTTTATCAGTCTCAATGCGTGCACAGAAACTGCTCCAAGCACGGGCACTAGGTGGTCGACAGCACATTCCACTCAAATCGCGGATTTTTCGAGTGCGTTATGGGAAGGCAATCGGGTTCGACCAGCTTCCAGATACCATCCATTTGCTCCACTGTGACCAGGCTACAGTAGGGTATTTTGTGTATAACTTGCCGCAGCTCGCTAGTGCTGCGTGCCGCGCCGCCCGTCAGCTGACGCGAGCAGGTGTCCAGTGTGGTGGCATGCGCGACAATGAGAATATTGCCAGCTGTAAGCAAAGTTAAAGACTATTTAAGTGTGTGCTGGGTGCGGTGCTTCCAAGTGACTCACTCGTGCGCTCGAGCAGCTGCAGCAGAACCTTATGATTGCGCATATAGAACTGCTCCGTGGATTCCTTTAACTGGGCTGTTAATTCTGCAGCCTGTTGCACAGGCTCATAGTTTAAATCAATGTCGTACTTGGAGTCGATTAGCTCGCTGCTGCTTAACCAATCGGGTACGCCATTGGGATACCAGGCCATCCATTCAAAAAGTCCTGGCTCCAGCTTAATTTTGTGGTTTCCACTCAGTTTAAGGCCCTCCAAAGCGCTTGTACAGGTTTGCACGCATCGATATGAGGGCGAGCAGTACACATGATCGATCTGGACCTTTGCCTCGAGCAGCGCCTCGCCGGTCAGACGCGCCTGGTACAGGCCAACGTTTGTCAGCGGTGAGTCGTTCTGCCAGCCATCGGGGCTGTTTTTGCGTTGCGGCAACACCTTGGGCATATTTAGATCCTTGCGCATATAATTGCCGAACTCATCAAAACAATAGGGTATCCAGGTGCCAAATGTAAAGTCCACCCGTTCGCCATGGCGCATAATGTACACCTTGCGGTTACCGCTGTGCATGGCATCCAATGTGTTAGGCAGCAAGGAGTGCTCGTGGTCTGAGTGCACGCTGAGCGTATCATCGGGTCTAGGCGGCTGCACTGCCAGCGGCTCCACCATTATCTCGTCAATGTTCTTAGATACCGAATTGGAGTTCGAAGACATATTGGCGGTGATCTCAATTGTAGGCGTGTGTGGATTGCGCGGATGTGTTAAATTGTTACTGTTGAGCAGTTGCACCGACGGCAGCTCCAGGCAGGGCTGCAGAGTCTGTCGCAAGTATTTTTCAACGCTCTGTTCCGATTCCTCAAACGAAGAACCCTCTATTATCTCCGGATGTTGTGCACCTACACATTGGGAATTAAATGTATATGGCAGAAGGATTAAAGAGGACTAGATAAGTTTTAATGTACTTTGCTGCAGTTCGCGTTGACGCTCCTCGGGCTCCGTGGATATGCTGCGCCCGTCTACAATATCTAGATCCTCAGCAGAATTCAGCGAGGATGCTACACTCTTGGAAAGCTGAACAACACGATGCAGCGTCCAGGCATCTGACTCAGCAGTGCGTTCCGTGTAATTAACCGGCAAGTGTCCCGTACTGCCTGTGAGCCACGATATGCCCTCCGCCCAGCCGTCGCAAGAGCTATCAACTCCCTCGCTATTTAAGTAGATGTAGTCGCCAATGCGCAGTTCCAGCTCGTCCGTTTCGTGCGGATTATGGGGATACACTACTTTCTGCACCTATAAATTATCAATATTAATTTAATTTCCTTGGTCCAACAGGTGCAAACGGTGCGCTTTGCTGTGCTAACTTGTTTGGTGGCGAGTCGTGGATCGCGGGAATACAGACGCAGTTCCCAATTGGAAGCGCAGCTGGCATCAAGGGTTTCCACAAGTGATTTCAGTGCATTGAATTGTGCCTGCGGGAACTGATAGGCGAGCGTCAGGTGCAGGCTCTTTACGTGTGGCTCGAGTGATATAGCTACGGGTAACAGAGTGTATTAGACGAATGTCTGGGAAAAAACCCCACAAGCTACTCAACTAATCTACGAATGAGTGTATCATGAGTGTGCATATTTTCTCTAGATAGGGCTTTCATAAATGTGGTCACGTTATGATAACGAGTGTAAACCAAAAATATTATGTACTACGCATGCGATTGATAATCAAAACTACAAGTCATTTGAGGGAATGCGAGTGTGAGATTGATAATGAACTGATAACTGTTAGCGGTTAGTTTATCTAAATTAATGAGGCTTACATCGACTGCTGCGCGGAATACAGCGGGTACCCGAGGATACTGCTCCGCACCAGGGGAAGCAGGCCACAATAGCGTCCAGCTGCTCGTAAGTATCGCTTATAACTGTGCTCCGTTACCAATATTGTTGTCCATTTCCAGCAGTTAGTGTGTGTGCGGGGCAGGCAGAGGGATAGGAAGAGAACGAAACCGTAAGCCACGCCAAAACTGTACAGAACCGAACCCAGCGGCATTAAACAGATAACCAAATAAATAGTGCAAAACAACGAAGAAAATAAAGGAAAGGCAGTGCAACTGCAACCAAACAAAAAATTGCAATGGGCGATGCGGGCATACTTGAGTTGGACACCTCCTTAACATATTGCAAGGCCAGACGCTTCAAGTAGTTGGCATCGTCTTCGGCCACAAAAAATCCCATAAAGTTTTGGCTCATGTATGGCTCCAATTTGATGGGGCGATCGAGCAGTGCGCCCGTCATGTCCACGACCTGCTTCAGCGCCTTGGACAGCTGCAAGGAGCATTCGTCGGGTGCCTGCCAATGAAAATGGGCATTAATAATTTTATTAACAGTCAACTTTAGAGTTGACTCACCTTAAAGAAGGACACTAGCGTTATGTGTGGCACATAGTTGTGAGCTCCATTCCAGCCGCACACCTGACGCGACTTTGACCAGAACTCCTCCAGCTGCTGCAAGAACGGCCCAGTTGGGCACGCGTATATGATGTACTCGCGTGGCGCGCACTCGTCCAACGTCGGATCGTTAACGTGGGCCAGCAGCCAATCTGAAGCAATTTGCACGCCCCTGTTGCCGGTTGAAGCCAGCGCCTTTTCGCTGTTGGGGAGTTGCGGGGATATGTGATAAAAAATAATCAATAAATGGCGCTGCGCTGGTTTCAGTTGTTTTTTGTATATGATTCAAAAATTATGCTTTATCACAAGTAGCTACTGCTGGCACAAGGCGCTTTGTGGCGCTGATACCTACGCTCTATGCTTCTGGAAGCCCATTTGCAGCAACGTTTGTAAAGGAGTCAAATGCGGCTTCATCGTTTGGCAGATGCGAGTTGGTGTTTGATTCTTACGCGGCGGCAGCGTTGCCATGTTTCCTTATCTTGCAGTATCTTACGAATAGCTACGGCACACGCAGGCTTTGTATTTTATAATTATAAGTACGTAGTTTAATATTCTAACTAGTTTTGCTACAATTTTATTGTTTTTCGTTATGGCAGTGTGACCAACGGCAAGTCTAATTTTAATAGGTGGGAAGTAGAGCTGGCACTATCGGTAAAATTGTTGTGCTTGTCGATGGTGAATTTTTATTGAATATAATTAAATTATTATAATTGTATTTTTGTTTTTCTATTAATTTCTATTAAAGACATACATTTTTCTGTTCAGAAAAGTAACTTAATTAACAGTTAGAAGCTCTGCGCAGAATTCAAGTATGGTTTGCCTTGAAATATAACCAATGCTTCTTTTTATGTGCTTTTATGTTACTTTACATTCCTAATCAGAAAGTAGCACTCCTCTGCTAAGAGTGGATTAATTATGTAAAGTCGCATATCGAAAATTGTGGAGTCATCGTCAAGTGTGGAGTGCTCTGTTAACGTATTGTATATGCTAATCGTCTATCGATTAAATGCAGTATCGATAATATAGTTGATATTGGCCAAAAATTGTAGAAAACAAAAAAATTAACTGCGTAGTTGAGTGGCAATAAAGTGCGTTCAAACCATAAAGATACATCGTGAATAAAGTAAGTTATATATAAGGTGTTTGTAGTATATTGTAAAGTGAAGAAACTACGTTATTCGAGACAAAGACACGCTGAAAAATTGTGTTACGCAGCAATAAAAACAGTATGGAAAATGCCAGTGGAGCTCAGACACAGAGAAAAACATACATACAAATGGATGTACATGTGTGCATACAAATGTTATTGTATTGGTGCGCAAAAACAAGCCATTTGTGGGTCCCCAACGGGACGGGTGGTACGATGCGAAGATGGCAATTTTTTTTTTAGCTTCCGCACAGTTTTGATTTTATTTGTGTTTACATTAACTTTTTAAATGTTCATCAGCCTATATGCTGTGATTAATATGGGCGTTTTCCTAGGGCCAATTATTGTTTATGTTGTTTTGTCGCAACCAGCATAACTTCCTGTTCGATTCAGCCTTGTTCGTGGACTTTGTTATACATCTACCATGTTGTGTCATTGTCACTTTCTCCCTTGCATACGCTTACTATCATTCTTTCTATTATCGCCTCGATGCGGGCTCCCGTTCCACCGCGCGCCTGCCTCCGTGCAATGGTCAGTCATTGTTCGGGGCATGAGTCATGTGCGTAGTGTAAATTCAGACTTTTATCATTTAAGCATGTCCGTGGCATTGCTCCAATTAGAGCCCAGATTTGTTCGATGTTGCTGTGCTGGTAATCCGAGGCGTTTCAGATAGGCGTGTAATTGAATTATGCCCAATAAGTTGCTGCAAAAGTATATTTTAAACAATATGCCAATATATGTATATGTTTTTTTTTTTTGTCTATTTTGCAGGCACCAGCGCTTAAACGTCAGCTAGCTAAAAGCTAATAGGCAAGAAATAGCAACAAATAACAAATATCGATATGGCCAGCAGAAAGAAATCATTGCTGAAAGTCATCATACTTGGCGACAGCAGCGTTGGTAAAACGTCGCTTATGAATCAATATGTAAACAAACGCTTCTCCAATCAGTATAAGGCAACGATCGGAGCGGACTTTTGCACGAAAGAGGTTGTTGTCAACGATCGCGTTGTCACAATGCAGGTGAGCAAATACCCAGAATTCGGCAGTTGTTTGAAATTGTTTATTGATCGTTTTGATTGCTTCCTAGATTTGGGACACGGCTGGCCAGGAGCGCTTCCAATCACTTGGTGTGGCCTTCTACCGGGGCGCCGATTGCTGCGTGCTCGTCTACGATGTGACGGCGCCAAACTCATTCAAGAATTTAGACTCGTGGCGCGACGAATTCTTAATACAGGCCAGTCCGCGGGATCCTGAGCATTTCCCTTTTGTCGTGCTGGGCAATAAAGTGGATTTAGATAATCGTCAAGTAAGTATTCAAACAGATAAGCGTCAAATTCCACAAAGCATTCACTTTATATATAACTAATAAAGTTGGGCAGCGGTTGGGTAGCTCTTATAAGAGATAGGCGCAGTCGTGTCTGTAGGGCCTATATCAAGAAATAACCACTATAGTCTCAGACCTGGCGTCTTCAAGGTCACACGGGCCTTAAGCTGGCTTATGCTTTTTAATAAGTACATTTTTTTTTCAATTGCATGTTTTATGCTTGAAATTGAGGCCCGCGGTCCTTGTTATCTCAGGCTATTTGAGCTTAGATTCTTGATCATCCGAACATCATTGTTGACCTCAGAGACAAAGGCATTGTCAGAAAAGATTAATTATGGCATTCTTAGATTAAGCAAAATCATCGTTTTTATTGTAACAATGAGCTATTCGAAATACTAAGCGAAGTGAATCAACAGATGATTGATTTGATTTTTATGCTCCACTTCGACTGAATCGAAAAATTGCCAGCTCTGTTTGGCTTGTATTTCATTTTACCAGGAAATGCAATAACAATTAATGAAATTTATGAAATAACAACTTATATGTATATTTTATTCATTCAAGTCAGTTACATTCTTGGTTCTCGTTTTTATTTTATAGCCATGTTTTAAAAGTTATAAAACAGTTGTTCATTTATTCAGCTGCATTCACATTCGGAATGTAGATAATGCAGTATCTTTCAGTTGTTTGCTTAAATTCAATATCTTGCTTGTTCCAGGTATCCACGCGCCGTGCGCAGCAATGGTGCCAATCGAAAAACGATATACCCTATTATGAGACGTCAGCAAAGGAGGGCATTAACGTTGAAATGGCGTTTCAGACCATCGCAAAGAATGCACTGGAACAGGAAACGGAGGTAGGTTTTTTTTTTTTTAGCTATAAATGCTTGCATTGATAACTCATATCTTTTGGTATTTCAGGCTGAACTCATAAACGATTTCCCCGATCAAATACGCTTGAACTCTGAAAATAATCGTCCAGGCAACGCTGACAATTGTCAATGCTAATGTAATATTATATTTTTACGGGCAGGAGCTGCGGCAACAGAATACAACGCAAAGTGCATAATTACACAATCTATATTATAAATAAAAACATAAAAAATACATAACAGCATATGAGTATAAAAAGCAAATATGATGTACGACAGCAAGGTTATAAGTTTAAGTAAAACAATTTCAATAACTGCATAGATATAATAAGATAGGATGCTAAATTCTGTTCTATCAATCCATTAAATACTTTTACATATTGTGCGCGCCCTCCTAGTAATATTTTGCCTTTAGTAAAATTATTGCTCTCAACAGATGCAGCCGTTGCAGAAATTAATAATAATCAGAATCACCAATAACAAATTATCGAAAACAAAAAAAATTCTTGTGATTGTAAATTTAATAAAACAAAAATATACATTTTTATTGTAACTAATTTTATATACATATATATAAATTACTCTGCACATTCAATTGGCGATTGACAATTTATTGGCTTAGCTCAGTTTCCAACTCAATACTAATCAATTTGAGCATAACTTTGATTAATTCACTTTGTTAGTTGTAGAGTATTATAAATAATTGCTTCACTTTGGTAATAGATGCACCTCGATTGTGCATTGCTCTATACTATGTTATTTTCACGTCTTTTTATTTACCTTTTTCATGCTTTTGGTTTAATTTGTTTAATAAACATTGAAGAATCAACAACTATTGAAACAGCCAAAACTTAAACAAATAAAACTAAGTTGATTGCAATCTTTTGGACACTGCCATAAATTCCACAAAGTCGGAATTCTTCAGAACTTCGATAGCGATATCATAAATACATACTTAGCTTACATAAAACGATTCGAATGCACGCACTCTTGATAATTCATTGCAACCTACCAACAAAGCTTTAGCTTGTTCACATATTTTATATATATAAATATTATGAAAACTCACTCTCTTCACAAGGAAACAATCCATGCAGAAGCAGTTGCTGTTGCATTACCAACGCGATCACAAGTCAAGGCATACAAAAAACAAGCAGGTGAGTTCAATTCTTGGCAAATCGAAGAAGATGACTCGCGAATGTACGTATGTATATATAATAGTTGACAATCTTAGCTGGCATGGATCTTGACGGATTTCTTGTCGTTCTGAAAGAGTTCGAGTTTCGATTTAATGTACTACTAATGCTTTTCGCTATCGGATTGCTATATTGATATATCTGATTGCTTTATTTATATATAGGAATCAGATAACGACAAGCATTACTAGTTCTACTTAAAAAATCAATATCATATACTAATAATAATGCTTTTTGTTGTAATTTTGTGGTTATTGCGGGCTTTCGAGCAAACTGATTCATATTTATTATATATATATATATATATGTTCCCTATAAATCATACCATGCTCGACCCGAAATAGCATGTCCAATCACTCTAAGCCATTGCTTAAGATCCTAGTTTTGGGAGACTGCGGCGTTGGGAAAACCTCACTGATGAATCGCTATGTAAACAAATGCTTTACAAATATGTATAAAGCAACGGTTGGAACTGGCTTTTTTACTAAAGAGGTTAATGTCAACAAGCGCAGGATCACAATGCAGGTAAGCCTTAGCTTCGCTTGGCCCGTCTTTGTATATGTGCTGCTTTATTGTCGCGGACTTTCTTTTATCGAGATGTGGGACATGGCTGGTCAGGATCGCTTCCAGACACTCGGCGTGTCCTTCTTTCGCGGCACGGATTGCTGCGTGCTCGTTTACGATGTTACATCTCCGAACTCATTCAAGAATTTGAACTTGTGGCGCGACGAATTCTTAATACAGGCCAGTCCGCGGGATCCTGCAAATTTTCCCTTTGTTGTGCTCGGCAATAAAGCTGATCTAGATGAACAAAAAGTATGTCAAATTGGTTAAATATGTCATTTCTAACAAGTACGCATTTAAATTCAGGTACCGACTCGGGTCGCTCTGCATTGGTGTAAAATGAACAACATGCCCTTCTATGAGATCTCGGCAAAAAATGGCTGCAATGTGGAACAAGCGTTCGAGGAAATAGCAAAAATGGCAGTGGAAGCGTTAGAGGAGCAACAGAGAGTCGATAACGATTTTGACCCTGCCATAGTCCTAGAGCCCGATGGTCCGCCTCAGAAAATATGCTGCTGCTGTTAAAATAATAAATACAATATGAATTCGCAGCATAATCCTTGCAAGTAATATGCCTTATCCTGAATCTGAATCAATTTTCTTATGTGAATTAAGTTTGAGCCATTTATACAACAATTTAAAAATAACAATTTACATATTTGATAACTTTCTGCAAAAACAACAAGGCTCCGGCTTAAAGTTAAAATTTCAATTGCTTAAAAACTGTCTGCAAATAATTCAAATAATATTTGGCGGTTACGAAAGCTGGCAATATTTCAACAAGTTGGCATCGCCGTGTCAAAAAAGTGCTACCCATAACTCACAAACAGCTGTTTAATTATTATTTTGCTTCTCAACTACCTCAATAACCGAATTTCTGTGCCAAATGTCACCAGCTGCGCCCGTTCCACCCCGGCCCCCGCCGGCGCCGCCTACCTTAAAGAGTTCCCTTACGAACATTCAAAAAGATCAAATCTCCGTTCCAGTAAATCGAATACCCAACGATGAGTGTAGCTGGGCCTTGGATTACCCGGAGTTGCAGAAGGGTTGCTTTCTCAGCCGTGTGTGTCAATATGCACAGCCCAAGAGATGCCAATTCTATGCCATACCAAGTTTTCTACAAGTTAGCGAGTTCCCTATGCATATATAAATGTATGTAATTATATGTATGTTTAAATTAATTACAGGTAGGACCCACCTGTGGCCTAACAGCGCTGAGCATGTTGCTTAATGGACAGCCGACGGCAACGGAATTGCTTGCAGATGCCGTTGCACAGAAGTACACAATAAATGGCGAAATGTTCAGTGCGCAATATTTATATGAATTGACTCGGAAGCATTTAAACAGTGCAGGCGCTTGCCTATTTCATGAAGGACTTTTGGATTGTGCCAGGATCAAGGAGCAGCTTATCGCTGGTGCTTGTTTATTGGTGCCGTATCCTTTTTTCAAAAACAAATCATTTCTAGCTTTAAATCCAAAATGTATTTTGGGCAGCACTGGTGCCGCGTGTAGTGCTGCCAAGTATATACTAACTTTTGGTATTATTTAGTGCAACAAAGTGAACACAAGAAAACAAAATAAGTTTTCCCTTGAATTTAATAATTTGTTGTAAACTAAGGTGCTTTGAAGTGTTCATTAAATGGCAACTGAAGAGGAACAGGTACGTAAACACATAAACTAAATAATTATCATACTAACATACGTACTTGCAGCTCAGCCAGGTAATATTGCCGGTCAAAGAGCCGCTGGACCTTATTCGCCTCAGCCTGGACGAGAAGGTGTACGTAAAAATGCGCAACGAGCGGGAACTAAGAGGACGGCTACACGCCTTTGACCAGCACTTAAATATGGTTCTGGGCGATGCCGAGGAAACGGTAACCACCGTGGAAATCGATGAGGAAACCTACGAGGAGGTGTACAAGACCACAAAGCGCACCATACCCATGCTGTTCGTACGAGGAGACGGCGTCATATTGGTCTCGCCGCCCATGCGGGTGGGCTAGGAGTCGCCGGGAGTAAACGAACTGGTTGTTAAATAGGAACGCTGCATTTATGCAAATTGTATTAGGATTGCTTTCAATAAAGTGCCACAAATTGTGTCTCATTAGTCGTCTTTCTTGCAAACTTTGGTTGACCTTAAATCGAGGCATTATTTTAACTATTCAGTTACGATGCCGACGTGAATCATGCACCCTGCCTGAAGTCTGGACATCGAGCCCATTGGGCGCTGATTGTGGGCTACCTAATTGATGACCAGGATAAGGTGAGCGAGTCCTTGAATATATTAAATATTCAGACTTAGCACGAACTTGCCCTTTTTGCAGTTTTTCGTGGTGGCACGCCATGGCAAGACACGTAGCCTGGCGATATGGTCTTTGGTTTCGTTAAGCGAGAGCAATGCAAATCTTGTGCAGTTCGCGCAGCCCAAGGCTCATGAAGGCTGCACGTTTCTGCTGCCACCCGGCGGCATAGACGGTGCTCTTGGTCTCAAGGAGCGCTCCATTCTAATCAGCGCGCCGCCTCAACAATTGACCCAAGTGCGTTGATGCTGTAAGAGAACGGTTTTGGCAAACAAAAACGATTTCGGGTTGTCTTTAAATGTCATATATATATATATATATGTATATTTAATAATACAATTATAAATTACACATCTTAGAATATTTGATTTTAAAGTTCGCTCTCAATTGCAACGCGCCTGACATTCATCTTAAATCGGCAAAATGTTCGCACCCAATTGGTAGGTATATTGCTTGAAACGGATTCATTCCATATCTTTTCTATATAATGCACGCATGCATATATTTTCATATACAATCTATGCATCGGCTGTTGTGCACACTATGAATTTTCAAAAATCACAACAATTAGAGTAGTACATATGTTAGAATATGCAGATTAGATAGGTATGCTTATATAAGTATATATATATATATATGTATGTATGTATATATATTGTCTAAGTATATATTTAGTTGCACATACAGATGTCTGAATTTAGATAGTATATAGACGACGGGTTGGTTAAATATGCATTCACATTGGTAAGCAGTTGTAGTTATAGTATGCTGCATAACATATAGATACGATAGTTTCGTTTTGTTTAGTTTAGTTTAGATAATGCCAGAGCATATATATATATATATATCACGCTGTTGCCATGGTGAGAGCAGAGTTGAGATCATGTGGCTCGATTCGGAGCCCTTCTGGCAATGCTCCTGACTCCAGCGTGGCACCTATTTATGAAAAAAGAGAACAACACGCTAACCGAAACCATTTGGCAAACCGTTTGTTAGCCAAACTAGATTTGGAAAATTTGTTCTTGGTAATAAACTCTTGAAACGGCAACTACATTGTTTAGTTTACTTGTACAGGATATTTGATACGCGTTAATTTGAACAAGTGTTAAACGTTCGGCTTTTATAATTTCATTATGTATATTAACTATATAGCTATTACCTATTGGTAGTGTATATATATGTGTGTGTTTGTGTGTGAGTGGGTGTGTGATGCGTGTGGCTCGAAAATTTTGAGATAAATTCACAAATTTGCGTTTTGTAGACTTAAAAGAAAATTTACAAGCTAAAAGTAATTTATTAACTAAAAATTTACAAATATTAATTATAAAATAAATTATCATTCTTCTTAGTTAATAAATTGAATTGCCGCGCATCTGTCCGGCTCCCCCTGCTCTAACTGTATCTGTCTGCGTGTGCGAGTCTGCATGAGAATGGGGGCATTGGGTATATTGTTTGACTAGGTTAGTTCGGCACACGACATGGGCGTGCAGCCGATCAGCGCAATGGGAAAGTTCTTAACATGCGTTTGCCACTGCGACGACAACTGGAAGAATTTGACGCCAGTCCACTCGGTGCCATCAATGTAAACTGTGAGAGTTGATAGAAAGTAAAGGATTAGCATTAATTAGGATTAGGATCTCACGTGCTCCGACAACACTTACCACGCAGTGGCACTGGATGCGACTGCTTGGGTGAGCATATTAGACGAGCAACACCTTCGACGCATTGCTCCTTTTCGAGATCTCGCTCCTTGTCCTTCTTCTTGCCCAGGCGCATAACTGTTGGTGAATATACGCTGTAGTTATGGCTAATATGTTTAGGTATCGCTCAGGGACTTACTTTGCTTCTGCTTCTTCTCCTTGGTGGCGAAACTAACAGTCAGTCCATTCGACATATCACCCAGTTGCTGTGCATTCTGTGGCAGGCGCCACACCTGCAGATTCCTAAACGTACTCTTAATGCTATTCTTGCCGCCGCCAGAGTCGCTGCCGCGCGACATTCCGCCCTTCGAGTCCTTGGCATGCGACTCGCCGTGCCGCACCAGCGGCCAGTAGTCCACCTGCAGTTCCACGGCCTCGGCAGCAGCCAGTGCTCCACTGAACGTCTGCGATTGCAGGGACGAGGGTGTTATCAGCGCTTCATTTACGCCCCGTTCGCGATGCGGCAAGCCCGACGCTGGCGGCGTCAGCAGCGGTGGTGATGTGCGTCCCATGCCCTGGCCCAGTTGTTGCTGCTGCTGCTGCGGCGGCGAGCCCGACACGCCACTGTGCACACTGGACGAGCTCTGGTTGCCGCCAATGGGTATGGGCAAACTGGAAGCATTTGCTGAACTGCCGCTGCCAGCGCTGCCGGTCATATTGGTTGCGGCGTTCTCCTCAAGATCCAGCGAGGCCTGCGTATCCAGATAGCCAATGCGTACGTCCTGCAGCGTGAAAGGGAAAGGAAGTTAAACATAATACCAGATATTTTAAGCGGCTACCCTTACGCTGACAAATGGCACAAAGATCTGGCGCGAGTCTTCGTCCTTATAGTTGACCATGGCCTCGGCAATGGGTATTTGCGTGCAGGGCCCGGCCGCATGCAGATAGCGCTGTATGCGCTGCACCAGCTCCGCAATGTCCGACTTGGCCACAGCAGCCGCATCGGCCAGATTGGCCGTCAGCGCCGTGGCATTGACTGTGGTCACGGCGCTGACTGCCGCCGCGGTGGCAGCCGCACGTTCGCACAGCTGCGACCAGTTCTCGGAGCCGAACATCGCAGCATACGTCTGATCCATTTGACTGAGATGGCGCGCCACGCTGCCGTTGCTGCTGCCGCCGCCGATGGGCACCAGATAGAAGCGCAAGTGATTCAGCCAGTCGGGCGGACGCACGCCCATCAGCTCCACGTAGTGTCGCAGCGTGGCGCCTTGCAGCCAGTCGCCGCCGATGAGCAGCACCTTTACCGTGTGCGGCGGCTTGGCGTTCGAATTACAACTAGTTGGATAAATGAATACGTTTAAGTGGATGCAACTGGAATGCTGATCTGGCGTGTCTACTCACTACTTTTGAATTTTGGCCATGAGGGCCTGCAGCACGGCCTTGACCTCGGCCGTGTTTTGTGGCACAAAGGCCGGCTTCAGGGAATTGGCAAACAGTGTAATGAGCTTGGCCAGCAGCGAGCCGCCGCCCAACGCCTCGGGCGGACTTATGATGGTCAGCACCTCGGGTATAATGTTGTCGTCGCCCGCAAAGACGCGGCTCAACTGATCCAGCAGCAGTTTGCGTGGCTCCACATTTGTGGGCGACAAGCATGCCTCCAGAGCCGAACGCGGCTCCGCGCTCAGGCTGAGCGTGTGCTTCCGTTTGCCTGCCGCCGCATTGCTGTTATTCCCAGCGCTGGCGCCGCCTGCGCTGCCCACGATCGGCGCATTGCTGGAGGTGCGAAACAAGCGCGAGCGCTTCTCGGTCTGGCCCTGAGCCTGAGCTGGGCTCACGCTGCACGTGTTGCCCGCGATGGAGCTGACGGGTGTCAGCTGCTGATACTGTTGCTGGCGCAGATAATCCTTGTCCCTGGGCGGACTATTCTGGGGATCGGAGTTCTGGCCATCGGTGTAGCCGGCGTTTCCCTCATTACCGGAACTATCATTACCAGCGCGATCTGCGAAAGGAACATATGACCACAACAGATTAAGTCAGGTGAATCCATGAAAAAAGAAACCCAACAAGAGACGAGGTACACATTGCGTGAGGGGGACTAGAGGAATATACCTAAGTTGGGTGTGGTGCACTAGAGTTCGAATTATTAAAAACAAGAAATGCTATTAAAATACATGCAGGCAGGCACAGACGTCCCTACCCCCGCTCCTCCCCTGCTGCAACTCCAACTGATAAGCCTAATGGAGAGTTCATTCCAAGGTGCTTCAAGTGCGTATGTGAGACGACGTTTTATTGGTAAATAAATAATAAATGCGTTGTTCGTAAATACAGTTAAGACTTTTTACTACCCGAAGAAGCCCTACGCACGAATGTGCATGTGTGTATGTACACATGTGTGTGTGTGTGCTCTCATATGTACACACATGCATGCATACGTCAAACACCTTTAGACTGTGTGTGTGTGTGTTTATTTATATTTGTGTAGAGTGCTCCACTTGAATTTTCTGAGCAATGTCGCAATTAATCTAAAGGGGGTCACGGCGCAACATGCAAAGAATAAGTTGAAGGAGAAGTAGAAAGCGGCATTGACGCAGTGATTGGAGTTTTTAGGGTGTTATTAATTGAAAAAATAAAAACGAAGCTCGAAATAAACACATGAATTTAATTATGTACCGATTTCTATTTAAGGGTTGTTGGTTTATTAAGTGTGACATGCATTGTCGACAATAAAACGTAGGTTCACTGTGGTTAATGATAGTATGCAATAAACAAGTCAAAGTGTTTTTAAATATCAGTTTCTTTACATTAGACCGGCGCTAAATGAGAGTTTTGTGTGACGTCACAACATTAACAGCGCTGCTAACGCATGCAATAACAGCAGCCAATGCGCGGTCACACTACGAATGTTAGCGCTGCAATTGCAAGTGCAACGGTGTATTTGAGCTTGTGTATGTATGCGTGTGAGTATGTGTAAGGGCGTGCGTAATGGTGGGGCAGGCCAAGGCTTTTAATTTCAAAATTAACATAACAACTTATAAATTATTAATGTGTTTGCTTGTTTGCGTAAGTACAGTGCACATTGGATACGATGAGCACCATTCATTTGAGATATTCAATAATTTATCAATTCATCATTTATATGTATATCAAACGTGCCCTGTACTCATTTACTGACTGAGGTGTGGATATGTATATCTTTTAGCTGGTGGAGGTTGGGCTTTTGGGCTATTATTGGTGTACTATAATTTGAGATAATAAGTGTTGGGTATTTTGTTGGTTTTTTGTTGCTGCAATTTACACAGACCTGGTGTTGTAGCCGAATTGTTATTGTTTGTTAAATGAATGCATTTTTGGTTTTTGTTATATTCAATATTGTAAGATGAATTGGTCAATTGGTCGCTCTTATCCGATGATCGGCGCTCAGAGTTTCCTGCAAAAGAAATTTGTACAAGCCATGCAAAATGTTTCTGTTTTTCTTTGTTTGTGTATTAAATATAAATATAAATATAGGAAACAATTAAGCTTTCCAATCGAATACGTGTCAGGTTGTTAATTAAAAATACATTTTATACAGTAAAATAAAAGTTAAATCAAAATCAATCGTAATTGCAATTATGTAGCATTGCCTCCAGTTACGCTCCCTTCCATTTTAACATACACACATACATACATATGTATGTTTGAATGTATGTGTATGTATAATATATGCCTGTCACAATTGGACAAATGGTCAATTAAATTAACTGTAACTGTAAGTGAATCTCTCACTGGTCCTGCTGCCATTTCTCTCCCTCTCTGTCGCTGTCTCTCTCTTTCTGACTGTATGTGACCTTGCAATTGTGTGTGTGTGAGTTCGTTTCTGTGTATGCGTAAGTGTGTATACACACGTGCGAGTTCGTATGAAACGCAGCCTTGACCGAAACCAGGCAAAAAAAGATTCAAGAGACGGGTATAAAAATAAAACAGACAAATAGTTGTACGGCGAATTGGACACGACCGAAAAGTGTTGCCTGCTTTTGGGCTGAAACAATTTCATATTAGTGCCCCAATGACGAACGGAAATAGGCGCCATTTTTGGCCGGCCTCATATATGTATGTTATGTACATAACCTCATAAAGCTACAAGAATATCATCAATTGGTTGCTTATAAAATGCCTTGGCAAGTAGCAGAACTTACCCGTTGCTCCGCCAATGCCGCTGCCCGGGGCGCCGCTGCCATTGCCCGCGAGACTGTCGTGCAGCATTATCCGCGAGTTGGTGAAGAACGGACGCAGCGACGGCTTCGGTGTCGAGCCAATCGATATGCTGTCCATGTCTGGACCGGAATCATCGCCCTCGCAACAGGAGAGCGACTCCAGCTCCTGAAAGAGTGCATCCAAATCGCGTTCACCGCGCAGCGCTGCGGTACCACTATGTGTTTCATCCTCCAGCTCCTCGCTGGCCTTGAAACGCTTCAACAGCGCAACAATTTTCTGCTTAAAGTTGCGCTGCTGCAGCGAAATTGTCTGAAAAAAGCAATTTGAATAATTTGATCTAAATTAGTCAAAAAGTATAAACAATAGGGACAAAGTTGTAGACATTGTCTAATGAAGGATGCTGAGAACTTCATATGCTTTAAATCAAAATCTAAAAACTGATTGCTTTTATATCAATGTGATCTATGCGTTCCGCGGAGACATATGTATATCCGGGAGTATTATTGCACGTCCAATTATTGACGGTGTCCTTAGACAGGCGTTTGACCCTTACACAGGGAAAGTCCCACTATTTCTTTGTTAATCTACCAGATGAATACTCTCAGTAAAAATAGATTACTGAAGAAATCTCAAATAAATAACTAATGTAATTATTCTTCAAATTTGTTCAAAGTGTGTGGACCTCTCCTTGAGGCATAAATTGCAGGATAATATTAATATGAAAGGCCCTGCTCTAACTGTGTTCAGAGTCTGATAAACTTAAACAAATAAGAGGTTCTAGTCGGGGGCTACCGACTAGGGGATACCCTGAACCTTCGTCTTCCAACATCAAATGCATATATATATTCTATTTTAGAAGCTATATGTCAAGTTTGGTGACTCTAGCTCTTATTATTTACCAAAATTGCCCAAAAAACGTGATATCGATATCGATTTTTATCGATTGCTTGGAAACGGAGTAAGTTATCGATTATCGGAAACAAACTCGATCTGCGCGGGAACTAGGAGCACCTACATATAAAGTCAAGTCTCTAGCTCGGACACACGGACAGACGGACATGGCTAGATCGACTCGGCTATTGATGCTGATCAAGAATATATATACTTTATGGGGTCGGAGATGCTTCCTTCTGCCTGTTACATACATTTGGATTTTGCACAAATACAATATACCCTTATACCCATTTTTAATGGGTTCAGGGTATAATAATGTCAAGATAAGTTAAGGCTGCTTTACTTGGCTTAAAACAACAGATTATCTTGTTTAGTTTGTTAGTTTTTATTTAAAAGCCTTTATTTATTTATAATGGGCGTCCCTGACTAGTTTTTGCAGTCGTAATATAACCCTAAATGCTTTGGTTACAGGCCATTAAAAATTATAAATCTGAAGCTCTTATGGGGGACGTTAAATAAAATCTCTAGAAACTTTTTGAGGTGATAAAATGTATGCAGCTGCGAGATGCTACAATAAAAAGAGCATTTTAATTGCGCCGCTGTCGTGTCTTCCTGCCCGTCCGTCTGTCTGTCCGTCTGTCGCCTTGTCATTAAGCGACTTTTTATCTACGACAGACATTTAAATGATCCTGGCAGTAAAAGCCAACACATTAATAAGCAGCAGCAGCAACAATAATAATCATTATAGCAACAGCAATGAAAACAAAAGCCGCAGGCTAATATTACACCTGTGCACCTGACAGGCGGGCGACCAAAGGGGGGGCGTAACAGTCGAACATGCCACACTGTTGTGTCGGCAACTGGTTGCAGGCAGGAAGGGAGGGAGGGATCCCCTCCACCTAAATGTGTCGGCCTGTCTGTTCAGTCGTTTCGCTGCAGCTTATAATTGGCTGCGCTCTTTTCTTGTTATTTAAATATTTATCAGAGTTCTTAAGTTCTTAAGCAAATTGTCCCAGAATATGCCGCGTTGCTGGCAAGTTGTCGTTCCCTTGTTCCCTTCAGGCTCTGCTCCAGCATAAGCACAAAGAAATATGAAATTGATTTTCTAATTATATCGAAGCCAGCGCAAGCATGTCTGTGATTTTGACATGCGTCACAAATCCCTTTTAAACCATAGCTAAAAATATGGAAGATACGAAAAGGCATCTCTGATTATTTCAGGCATATTCCGAGACTATTTGTTTTATAGAGTTTATCTTCTAAGCTTCAAAGAGATATAAATAAAATGTGAACACAAATAGTCGTAAAATAGTAAATGATACCAATTAAATGCATGCAACGTTTTTATACCCATTAAATGCATATTTAAGGATAAGTTTTTTTTATGAACAATTCAAATTTAGTTTAATTTTTTGACAGATTGTTCCTATGGGGTCTATAAGATATACGATCATGAGCATAGGCTTAACTTGCCAAGTATGGCTAATATAATAGATAAAACATATAATGATATATTCGAAAAAGTCTGTACTCAAAGTTTAACTTCGAGTTAACAAAGTATTGATATCAGCGAGGCAACTCACGACTTTAACAAACAGACGGATATATGTTAAATCTTGTTTCGATAAATACAAGCACAACGAAGATTTAATACCCTTGCGGACATATCCCTTTTCAGATACCATATGTGAAAATAGTGCAGCTGAAAATTTATGAGTTTTTTGAAATACCTGAGATCGAACTATTCCGCCGATCTTTCCTATGTCAGCTATATGATATAGTGCAACAGATTCATGAGGACACTTTTCAAACTAATATTAGTTCGCATTGAAACAGACAGACAGACAGACGGCCATGTCTATATCGACTCGTCTATATGACTGATCAAGAATTAATATACCTTATGATGTTGAACAGACATTTCAGTAACGTTCATAGACATATACCCTTTAAAAAGGTATGTTGTAGGGTAAAGGCTAGTCGGGCATTTGTGTTTAGCTTGTTTTGACTTGCGCATGGCGCCTATTCCTTGACATTTATGCAATTCAATTCTCATGCAGTCAATCAATCAGTCAGCTATTTATTCACTCGGCATGTCTGCACTTGCAGCTATTTCTGGTTAATGTCGTTCGACGACGCAGGCGAGCGTGCAAATCCATTGCATACGTCAAGGCGTTGCAGAAATACATGCGTAACATGAGGGTATACATGTGAATATATAAATAAGTACCGTGTATTACCCGGCCTTGTTCGTGGCACGTTTTGTGCTACAAACTGAAAATATTACAACTTCACTTTTATTTAAAAAAACAAAGATCTTTGAATATGAGTTTGAGGCCAATCGGTTGGTAAACAAAAAAGTTTTATAGAAACATTTTCCGCGTATTTTCCATACTTGCGAGTGGAATTTGCAAAAACTCCGCCTTAGCGGTTAGTCTAAATTTCAGATTGATCAATCAGTCAGTCGCCGGTTTTATATATAGAGAGACTAAAGAAGCGCTCTAAGCCAAAAGCTAAAAGCCAAACAATTTTAGGAATCTGCTTATTGCAAAAGTCCAGACATAAATTGATGAAAAATTCAACAATGTTTGTCGTCGGACTTTTTAATAAGTTGTCTGTGTTTTTAGGCGCGCATATTTTTTGTTTGTTTTTCGTGCCGGGCCGCGCCCATCTCTAGACTTGATGGATTCAGACCAACAACAGCACCCGGGTGTAGGGTAGGTGAGTAGGGTCTCAAGGGTACAAAGCAATACAAGTTTAAACCGATTCTGTTTCTGCAGGTTTCCCCTGCACGACACCGTTTGGCCTTAATAAATACATGTGTGCGCGAATGCTCAAGGCCAAAAACAAAACAATTGTCAACAAGTTCGATGGCAAATTCTTAGCCATGCGATAGTTTTAACTAAATATATATACATACTAGACGGCGTATGCAATGTTTTAGCCAAATACAAATACAAAAGTGCGATTTGGGCCGAAAGAAAATGCTTTTGGCTTTACGGAAATAGCTGCAGGCAGTGGCCCGATTATTGCGTCACCAAATTAAAATTTCGAAAAGCACCTAGAGACAACAATAAAATAACAATATACAATATATATGTATGTGCATATGTATGTATGTATGTAGGTATGTATGCTGTGGCATTAATATAGAGCAGGGGTACGGCTGGCAGCTTGTCACAGCCCAAAGCCTTTGATAATTGCAGCCGTGCGAAATGAGCGATCATAACAAAATGTTGTGCACCAAAAGAAAACTTTGTGCTACACTTACAAACATAAACAAAAACATAAAACTAGTTACATTAACAAAGAGGCTGGAATCCTAAAAAACAAAAGGGGATGCGAGGGGAAAAGGGCTAGCTAAATTAATTTTTTTTTTTCAAATAAATACTCGATTTAGAAAATTGACAAGTTTTCAAAATAATTATGTTGAAAATATGCTGAAAATAATATTTTGTCAATATTAAAGTGTCAAGCAAGTCTTAGAAAAAATAATAGAAATAATTGTGACTATATATAATATATTATTTTTTTATATTTCTATTTTAAAACTAGTTTTAAGTCAAAAAAAAAAAAAAATATAATATATATATTATATAAGTTTTTTTTTATATTTTTTTTAAAAAAATTTCCTCAATAGAAAAGGTATCGAGATATCAAAACTTCAAAAAAAAAAAAAAATAATATATTGCAATTATTTTATTTTTTTTTATGACATTTTTTTAAATATAGTTAAGCATGTTTTATATCTATCTTGCCTTGTGAAATTATATTTTTTTTTAAGAATTTATTATTTAAAGATTGTTTTTATATACAAAACTTGCAGAATACAAAGCTTCTTTTTGCTATCTATAACATATAATATATATTATATGAAATTTGAAGTAATTTCCTTAAACACATTTTGTTGCCAAGTGAATTGTTTTCAATTTTCGAGTCACTTGTGTTTAGATAACTGAAAATGATATTTGTATGATAAAAAAAAAGAAAATAATTTAAATTGGAGAGGGATGGGAAGAGGAGGGTGGGGGGGGGGGGGGGGGGGGAGGCGGCGCCCTTGACTGCGGCCATGTCAAACGGGCAAAACAATTATTTTAAATAAGTAGCTGGTCGAATTGGGGACACCTGCTGGGGGTTACACGATATAAGCATGACAAATGTACACATATATATATATATATATATATGCATAGGGTATGTAAAACTAGATAACTATTGTGTCTAGTTATGTTTGGCTGTGACTCACCCGACTGAACTTGGCACGGGATGAGCTCTTGTCCTTCATTTCGAACTCGCTGTCGCTGTCCACCGGATGATGCTGGTGCGGATGATGGCCCACTATTGCGATATCCGCAATGCCCGATCTTTGCAGCTTGTTGCGATACTTGCGCATATCATGCTTGGCCGGATTATAGTCACGCTTCTGATCGTAGCCCGTGATGGCCAGCTCATTGGATTCGTCGTTGAATTCGCCCGAACTGAATTCAGCCTCCTCGTCCTCGTCCGAGTATTCAGCAACGCGATCTGTTTGGATACAAAAGCAAATATACCCAAAGATATAGTCGATTTTCGCAATGATGCTTCACTTTCAGCTGTCAGGTATACATATATACACACACACACACACACACACACACACACACACACACACACACACACATATCTTACGCACATATATGTATGTCTCTATGTAACTATTTGGCAATTGTATTTAACCGTTTGTCAGACGTGACGTCGCGCCGCCGGCAGCTTCTTTTTGCGGTCCCCCTTCCCCCCTTTTTGGAGTCTGCTTTATAATTTTGTATATTATTCTTGACTTGAACGCGTACTGCGTACTTTGTCGCAAAGAGCAGAGCAGCAAAGTAAAAAGGGAAAATAAACACGCGCGCGTTGCTTTTGTTTTGCCACCGCCGACTACGTAAATAAATTAATCACAAGATATCAGCGTTGAGTTATCGGCCCATCTCTTTTGCCTCGATTCAACAGTCCGTTATGTTCACTGTACACTGCTTTCCTGCACGCTCGCCAGCCAAATGAATGCGCTGTGCTGACGCTTCGCACGTTTTGTTGCGACGCCGGCAGCGCGCAGCGGCAGCGACAGCAGCAGCAGCAGCAGCAGCAGCAGCGACAGCAGCGACAGCAGCACCGTTGACTGAAAAGAGCGCGCCACTTTCTCACCTAAGCGCTCGCAAAGTGTACAATGGAGCGGGCAATGAGCGATGCTCGATTAGCTGACCGCGCAATGGGGGAAATTTTAAAAAATCATTGCGAGAAATTGTCGAGCAATGCCGGGCAAAAGCCTAAGTACACACGAGGGCTTATCGACAATTTATGGGCTCATTTTATGGCAGATAATAAATAATAAATGCTATAGTGAAGATATTTAGCATTAATTTGTTTTATACACATTTCTATATTGAAATAGTTCCCTTTCACAGTTTATAATCAATAATATTGAAACGTTATTTGTAAATGTAATGGATATATATTTACAAAAGACCTATGATATAAATCATTTGTTTATCTGTCTGATACTATACTGTTAGGGGTATGTACAGATGTGTTTTTAAGAAAAATTATTTATTGCTTATTGGCATTTGAATTTGAATTCCAATACCCCGCAAGTCAAACAATTTGGAATAATGTACATTAATTTCAATCTTCCAATATCTTTTCGTATTAGGGCGTTTTAATTTTCGAACTGTATGTATCTTCGTACTACTGAATTACATATTTAAAGTTTTTCAATGGAATATAATAGAATTTGGAACTATTTTAAATTGAATACTTGTGATGCATGTAAAAATATTTATTAGAATTTTAATATTTGTTTTTCATAATTTTTGTTATTATTTCATCATCAGTTTTCTCAGTACTGTACTAACAGCCCTCGAACATGTATGAACAATACGTACAGGAAAGCTTACTGGCCGTGCGCAGGGGCATAACAAACGGTTATTAAAGTTATTTTTACGCATCGATTCGGTTAATTGACAAAATAGTCATTGATGAGCACACATACATACATACATACACACATATATGGATACGTATCTATATGTATCTAAAATGTACCGCTGTTATTTCAACTTAAAAGCACTTGACGCTGCACTCTCTTTAACCCGCTCTCTCCCTCACTCTCTCTCTCTCTCTCTCTCTGTCTATGTTTCTCTGATGTGGGGGCTTTTTAAGCTGGGGCTTGAGTGTGTGGGATTAAGTGCACGAAAGAAAAAGTCTGATTACATTTCTGCTGTTGTCATCGTCGCGTCGTCGTCAGCCTATTGCTTGTTATTTTGTCTGCATGTAATTCGTTGATCGGTTCGTTTGTTTGGTCTGCTTGTTCGTCTGTCCGTTGTTGTTTTCTGTTTAATTATTAAGTTGCATGTTTTGCTGCCGTTATCAATCGCACACTATTCGATTCCGAGCCTTTACCGGCCGGCAACGGCAGCAGCCCATCGCGTGCCCGTTTGAGGCCCTAAATATCGTAGCGCATACAAGTGTGAGTGTGTGCGTGTGTGTGTGTGTGTGTGTGCTGTTTTGTTTTTGTTTGCGCGTGGATAAGTGTTACTTTTAACAGCATTAAATAAACAGTTAACTGATTAGAAAACCAGGTGATTAGAAAACAAGCATCTCGCGCAAATGCAGGCCTCGACCAGCAACGTCGCGCCCTGACTGACTATTATATACTCCTTGTCTGATGAAGCGACTTGGGGTATATTCTTATCTCCAGCAAGTGGACAACAACAATCAACAATGGCAGCCAGTTGAAGTGGAGCAGCTGCGGCTGCGATTTGAGCCTGCATCTGCAGACAGCAGCAGCAACAACAACACCTGCAACTGCATTGTAATTATTTAGTTTATAGCTGCAATGGCCTTTGTCATTATATCGTAATGACAAGATAATGCACCTTTATATCTCGCTCGACTCATCTTTAGCGCTCTTTCAACTAAATATATATATATATACATATTGTTCCTTGTAAACTGGAGCGTCAATCAATAGCTTTGCGGTAAGCCGAAAATTGTATACCCTGTAGAATGCTTCTATACCAAAGCCCTCCCAACTGTTCCATCTTTCGCCAAATGAACTACTTCCTGCCGGATGAAGATACCAAAGCAACAAAAATGCTCAATCAAAAGTGATATTAATTATCTACAAAAGTATTCTGATATACAAAATGAATGTGTGAGTGTGTGTGTGTGTTTATACGAAGACTAATGCGCTATACTGCACGCCAATTCCCATCTGCATTGGTCTACATTATGCATATTAATAAAATTTCCATGAAAACGTAAAAATTCCATCTCAACTTATTGTAGGTGCGCGAATTCCGCGAACTGCGGTTCATATGAATGCAAACAAACTGAAAATGGTAGACAAAGTGTTTCGCCGGGCCGGCGAGGAGTGGCTATCATTAGCGGCCAAAATGGAGAAGACGAGTCATGGGAAAAATTACCTCCAGCCCCCATGAAGACACCCCCCCACCCCACCATCTCACGAGATGCCACACTTATGAACGCCCACGCGCTCAACGCGGCGTATACGTAATGTAAAGCGTATTGAAACGCGACGAACGACATTGATTTAATGTTTATATATATATCTGATATATATATATATATATATATATATATATACAGCTGATATATAGATAGATGATGCTGTTGTTGTTCTTGTGGCTGGACGTTCCATGGCTGCGGCTTTGGCTGGCAACCTAGAGATAAACAACACCGAAAAAAGCAAGCCAGAGCGCCGGTGTCACGGGTATGCGACTAGTAGATACCCTGTAGATACCCCTGGCCAACTTCATTCTATACATACATATATAGCAAAAAAAAAAAGCTTCGCTATTTATGCAACCAGCACCTCACCATGGGAATTTCATATGTTCATTCTTGAAAACTTTTTCTAGCTTTCGAGGTCGCCTTAACTTGACATCCTGATCATGAATATATGTGTATATACTTCATGAGCTCGCAAATGCCTTCTGCCTGTTACATACATAACGTGCTTTTTTACATCAAACTTCACAGGGTATTCAGAAAAAAAAATTGGCACACAGCAAAAAGTACTACATTACTTTGACCTTGGCCAAAGCTGAAGCAGCGGCGGCAGCGGCGACAGCGGAGGTTGCCATTAGATGACAGCCAACACAACGAGTGGCATGTCAGGGGGAGTGAAGCAGGGGGATAAGGGGGGGGCAGTGGGTAGAGCGAGGGGGGGTAGCAGCTGTGAACAATGATGCGCCCTAGCAACGCTCAACAACATAATTTACGCATTTTGCCATTAAACACTCAACGATAAATATGTATATGTAGCTCACAGGCTGGGCCCGGGCCCAATTCCAGTCCGAAAGGGGGAGAGGGGGAGAGTGGGAGATGGCCTCATCCGGCCACCTGCCTGACTGTCATATTCGTGCTCAGCCTCTTCTCTGCGCTCGTTTTCACATTTTCCTTTATTTCTGCTTATCTCTGGCGCACAAGGACAAATGACTTAATTCCTGTCAGCAGCTACAAATGACAATGCTCGGGCAATCCTACGTCGGAATACTCAAGGATGCTTCTTTTCCATTTACACAATTATTTATACCTTTTAAATAAGCACACCTGAGTGCTTCTCTTATAGCTTGCGGCTGTGTTTAATTTGTTGGCCAATTCAATACAATGTTTTACTGATAACACAAATTATTTTTAGCGCACACACAAGTTGCATTTTTTGTTAGTCCTATTTCTGAATACGATGTATATATTTTATTGCTGACACACTCGAATTTTTGGCATCCCATCCGAAATTAGATTAAAGCATATAATAAACAATTTGCTACGTAAGCATATTAAATTTGAATTTAAGCACTTTAATTTTCATTATTTAAAATTTTATTTCTGTTTATCCGCTGGGAAGCTGTCATTTTTATTAAGACGAGTTTTTGGGAAAACCCCTTAATAACTTTTACCAAAAATTGTATTGTATATATTCAAAAATTGATATCCCTAAGAAATCTGACAGGTTTCTGGCTTTCAGGCTACCCGTTAACAGGCACAAGAGCCCATTGAATATTATGGAAAATTCAAGGAATATGAAAACTAGCCCTACAAATTGTCTACAAGGGATGCTTTTCCCTGCTGCTGGATCGGACTCTCGGTTCTAGGTGTGCAATTGCCTTCGACTGTTCCCAATTGACAACAGCCGCACTTTGTTGGCCGCACAAAAGAGGTAAAAAAAATCAATAGACAAAATGAGGTGGAGGCTAAAAAGGTTTTAGCTCCCCCCGTGCCGTGCAAACGAAATTAATTTTGCAAATTAGAAACCGGGCCCCAGAAGTAATTCAACAGCTGTCGCTGAGAACTACTCGACAGACCGCGCGGCTGACCCCAAGCGCCGGTAAGTCCCAATTGGCAATAATTTTGGGCCAGCTGCCAAGTGGCGAGCGATAAGTTTTGACCCTCAACCGGCGACATCGAACAGTGTGTAATAAATGCGGCTACAAGGACGTTGTTTGTTGCTGCAACGCGTCCTCAAAGTGCGCCCCAATGCATACCTTGGCCACTTTCCACCGGTAACTCAACAATTTGGCCGCATGTTGCAAGTTGCTGCTGTGATGCTGTGAGATGCCGCCGCAGGCTCTAAATGAGGAATTTTCCTTTGCTGTGCTATTTTCATAATTGGATTTTCTCAAAATTCTTATGTTTTGCGGTTAGAATGCTTGCGGCTTGCGAATGCGATTGGGATGTCTGCTTTGAGCACGAAAATAGAACATTTTAGGCATCTGCCGCAGATGAAATACTCTTGCTGAAATGTGGCAAACATCTAGAAATATCTACAATTAGTTTTGAGTCCTGAGAAAAGCTAGAAAAAGGGCTGCATTTTGATTTGTGTTGCCAAATTGTGAACAACATTTCGATCGGCTTCAAACTTATTTTCAAAGAACTTTTGTGAAATATGCAAAATGGGAACTGGCTACAAACAACGCCGGGCAATATGAAAGAGAAAAATTTTCAGTTGAATACAGTTTTTATTAAAACTTGTCTCTGAGGAGTTAGGTACAGATATTTTGAGATACGAAAATACGTTTTGAATAAATTCGAAAAATTCTCGAAACATTTAATTGCATTGCCGAAACTTTTTTTTACCTAATGTTTAACCGAACCTGACTGAGTTTTACGCTAATCCTAAAGAAATAAAACTCCTTAATCTTTCAGAAACAAAAATCTTTTCATACGCAGATTTCTGTTTCAAAAAATACAGAAGTTATAAAGTAAGCGGGTTTTAAAACTTTCAGACTAATTGACATAGAAACAGACAATTAATTATACTAATCAGAAATATAGCGAATTTTAGGTCGGAGTTGCCGCCGTCGCACAGTTCGCGACAAAATTATATTACCGACTGCAAGTGTATTGGAAAGTATTTTTAATTAAACACACTCATAAGAAAAATTCTGGGACGCGTCTGCTGTTGCCATGCGATGGTGGAGATGGCTGCTGTAACCCAGATAAGCACATGGTGAAATCTTGGGAAGATTGCGTTTACAAAAGGAGCAAATGGTAAGTAGAATAAATAAATAGAATATACATAAATATATATTTGAAATATGCGGCGCGTAAGGCTGACGTCATGAATCGCTCGCCACGTTTCACAAGCAATTACCATAAACATAAACTCAAATTGGGATCATCTTCAATAGATATAGATATATATGTACATATATATATATATATAAGTATAACAACAGCAGAACAGAGAGAGAGAGAGAGAAAAAGATAGATCCAGCACACAGGGCCTGCTTCCCCATCGTCGCCCCCGCTCCCGTTGATAATCATGCGTGCTTTATGGATTTGGCAATTAGTTGCTTGGCTGCGTAGATGGACAGCATGGAGTGGACCGCATGGATAATTGAAAGGGATTCGCCGATGGTGACTCACCTGCCAGCAGCACGCTGTTGTTATTCTTATTGTCATGGTCAACTGGAATGGAGGAGACGCGCTCGGCGCGCAGGCAGGCAACCACAGTGCCGGGCCTGCCGTTTTTGCCGGATGCACTCAGCTCAATGATCATGTCCATCGATTTCTGCAGCACCGCATCCATGCGTATTATGCCCTCGGCCAGCGTCTTGTAGCCCAGAATCGTGCGCGATTTGTATTTCTTGCGGCGCTGCAGCAAAATTACCAGTCTGCAACCAAAAGTGGAAAGAGACATGAAGTGCGTGTTGAATCGGTTAAATGCGTTAACTCACCTATTGCCGTCTCTCTTGATGAAGTGCGGATACTGCAGACTGAAGTGCAAGTCCAGCTCCGTTTCGGTCAGTGGCAGCGCTCCGGTACCGATGCCCGCATTGCCCACATTGCCCGGCGTGCCAATCAGGCCGGAGCCACCGATCACATTGGCCAGCGGCGAGTTGCCCTGCATGGAGCTCTCCCGGCTGGATGCCATCGATGTCAGTGCGGTGCCATTGATGGGTATCTCGTGGCTGCGCAGTGTTCGCTTTGAGCTTTGCATTTTGACCGCCAGCGAAAGTGAAGTCGTGTCCCCGGGCAGCGGGGTCAGGATGGAGAGACGCGTTATTGTCAACGAGCAGAGTCTGCGAATATAATACAAAATATTGTTTATTTAATTATTAAAGAAAAGAAATTTATTTAAAATATTATAAAGCGAAAATCCATTGAACAAGAATAAACTCATAACAAGATATTCTGGGTAAGATCTCATTGCTTTATATTAATTATATTATATAATATTAACATATATATTTTTTACAGAAATTGTGTGGCACAGCAAGGCCAAAACTCTAAACAAGAATTAGAATAAACACATCGTTGTGTTGTACGGCATAAAAAGTTGGTTACATCAAATTGAAAACTTCAGCTGAATTCGAAGAATTCATATTTGTTTAGGCTGTAAATTATTTGTATTGAGTTCTGTAATGAAATGTATTCGGGCCTGCAAATGAGTTCGCATTCCATTTAATGCGAAACTTGAGCTTTTCCAATTTCCCGGCAAAATATTTGTGCTAAGCACAAACTCATTAGTGGGAAATGCGGTAGAATATTACAAATTACTTTCTAGCTTTGCGTAGGTTAAATATTTTTCTCGATGTTTATTTAACTAAGCATGAAATTGATGTTATGTAAATGTAAATCAATGTAATTTAACAACAATAGAGTGCACATTAAATCTACTTTAGAATTATGCTTGTATTTCTATTTTTATACCCTGAACTCATTAAAAATGGGTATAAGGGTATATTGTATGTGTGCAAAATCCAAATGTATGTAACAGGCAGAAGGAAGCAACTCCGACCCCATAAAGTATATATATTCTTGATCAGCATCAATAGCCGAGTCGATCTAGTCATGTCTGTCTGTCCGTCCGTCCGTCAGTATTAATGAACGCAAGGATCTCAGAACCTATAAGAGCTAGAGACTGTAAAAATGTTATAATTGCAACTTCGTTGAATTTCACTTTGTAATTAATTTTCCTTGAATTTTCGCGAACAGCTGTCTCCAGCTTGACACCTAATTTATTGTTTATCAAAGGCACCAACAAAGTACTAGGAATAGGATTACTGCGGTATATTAAACAAGTAAAGGTTCTAGTCGGGAGGGGATACACTGAACCCTCTTCTTCCAACATCAAATGCATATATATATTCTATTTTAGAAGCTATATGTCAAGTTTGGTGACTCTAGCTCTTATTATTTACCAAAATTGCCCAAAAACAGGATATCGATATCGATTTTTATCGATTGCTTGGAAACGGAGTAAGTTATCGATTATCGGAAACAAACTCCATCTGCGCGGGAACTAGGAGCACCTACATCTAAATCTTCAAGTCTCGAGCTCTTATAGGCTCTGTCAAAATGATTAAGAAATCACACCATGAACAAAAAGCCAAACCTTATGAAAATCGGATGAGATTTGACCGACTTATGGGGTTGGGAAATTTTGACTTATGTCTATATAAGTATTTTGAGGGTACAATTTTTACAGGAATTTTGACCAAAAAAATTTGTTGCCAGTTTTTGATGCCAAATTGATTTAGAGGTCAAACCATGAACAAAAAGCCAAACCTTATGAAAATCAGATGAGATTTGACCGAGATATGGGGTTGGGAAATTTTGACTTATGTCTATATAAGTATTTTGAGGGTACAATTTTTACATGAATTTTGACCAAAAAAATTTGTTGCCAGTTTTTGATGCCAAATTGATTTAGAGGTCAAACCATGAACAAAAAGCCAAACCTTATGAAAATCGGATGAGATTTGACCGAATTATGGGGCTGGGAAATTTTGACTTATGTCTAGCTAGGATATTTGAGGGTACAATTTTTACATGAATTTTGACCCAAAATACTGTTGCCAGATTTTGATGCCAAATTGATTTAGAGGTCAAACCATGAACAAAAAGCCAAACCTTATGAAAATCAGATGAGATTTGACCGAATTATGGGGCTGGGAAATTTTGACTTATGTCTAGTTAGGATATTTGAGGGTACAATTTTTACATGAATTTTGACCAAAAAAATGTGTTGCCAGTTTTTGATGCCAAATTGATTTAGAGGTCAAACCATGAACAAAAAGCCAAACCTTATGAAAATCGGATGAGATTTGACCGAATTATGGGGCTGGGAAATTTTGACTTATGTCTAGCTAGGATATTTGAGGGTACAATTTTTACATGAATTTTGACCCAAAATACTGTTGCCAGATTTTGATGCCAAATTGATTTAGAGGTCAAACCATGAACAAAAAGCCAAACCTTATGAAAATCGGATGAGATTTGACCGAGATATGGGGTTGGGAAATTTTGACTTATGTCTAGTTAGGATATTTGAGGGTACAATTTTTACATGAATTTTGACCAAAAAAATTTGTTGCCAGTTTTTGATGCCAAATTGATTTAGAGGTCAAACCATGAACAAAAAGCCAAACCTTATGAAAATCGGATGAGATTTGACCGAATTATGGGGCTGGGAAATTTTGACTTATGTCTAGTTAGGATATTTGAGGGTACAATTTTTACATGAATTTTGACCAAAAAAATTTGTTGCCAGTTTTTGATGCCAAATTGATTTAGAGGTCAAACCATGAACAAAAAGCCAAACCTTATGAAAATCAGATGAGATTTGACCGAGATATGGGGTTGGGAAATTTTGACTTATGTCTAAATAAGTATTTTGATGGTACAATTTTTACATGAATTTTGACCAAAAAAATGTGTTGCCAGTTTTTGATGCCAAATTGATTTAGAGGTCAAACCATGAACAAAAAGCCAAACCTTATGAAAATCGGATGAGATTTGACCGAATTATGGGGCTGGGAAATTTTGACTTATGTCTAGTTAGGATATTTGAGGGTACAATTTTTACATGAATTTTGACCAAAAAAATTTGTTGCCAGTTTTTGATGCCAAATTGATTTAGAGGTCAAACCATGAACAAAAAGCCAAACCTTATGAAAATCAGATGAGATTTGACCGAGATATGGGGTTGGGAAATTTTGACTTATGTCTATATAAGTATTTTGAGGGTACAATTTTTACATGAATTTTGACCAAAAAAATGTGTTGCCAGTTTTTGATGCCAAATTGATTTAGAGGTCAAACCATGAACAAAAAGCCAAACCTTATGAAAATCAGATGAGATTTGACCGAGATATGGGGTTGGGAAATTTTGACTTATGTCTATATAAGTATTTTGAGGGTACAATTTTTACATGAATTTTGACCAAAAAAATTTGTTGCCAGTTTTTGATGCCAAATTGATTTAGAGGTCAAACCATGAACAAAAAGCCAAACCTTATGAAAATCGGATGAGATTTGACCGAATTATGGGGCTGGGAAATTTTGACTTATGTCTAGTTAGGATATTTGAGGGTACAATTTTTACATGAATTTTGACCAAAAAAATTTGTTGCCAGTTTTTGATGCTAAATTGATTTAGAGGTCAAACCATGAACAAAAAGCCAAACCTTATGAAAATCGGATGAGATTTGACCGAATTATGGGGCTGGGAAATTTTGACTTATGTCTAGTTAGGATATTTGAGGGTACAATTTTTACATGAATTTTGACCAAAAAAATTTGTTGCCAGTTTTTGATGCCAAATTGATTTAGAGGTCAAACCATGAACAAAAAGCCAAACCTTATGAAAATCGGATGAGATTTGACCGAATTATGGGGCTGGGAAATTTTGACTTATGTCTAGTTAGGATATTTGAGGGTACAATTTTTACATGAATTTTGACCCAAAATACTGTTGCCAGTTTTTGATGCCAAATTGATTTAGAGGTCAAACCATGAACAAAAAGCCAAACCTTATGAAAATCAGATGAGATTTGACCGAATTATGGGGCTGGGAAATTTTGACTTATGTCTAGTTAGGATATTTGAGGGTACAATTTTTACATGAATTTTGACCAAAAAAATGTGTTGCCAGTTTTTGATGCCAAATTGATTTAGAGGTCAAACCATGAACAAAAAGCCAAACCTTATGAAAATCGGATGAGATTTGACCGAATTATGGGGCTGGGAAATTTTGACTTATGTCTAGCTAGGATATTTGAGGGTACAATTTTTACATGAATTTTGACCCAAAATACTGTTGCCAGATTTTGATGCCAAATTGATTTAGAGGTCAAACCATGAACAAAAAGCCAAACCTTATGAAAATCGGATGAGATTTGACCGAGATATGGGGTTGGGAAATTTTGACTTATGTCTAGTTAGGATATTTGAGGGTACAATTTTTACATGAATTTTGACCAAAAAAAATTGTTGCCAGTTTTTGATGCCAAATTGATTTAGAGGTCAAACCATGAACAAAAAGCCAAACCTTATGAAAATCGGATGAGATTTGACCGAATTATGGGGCTGGGAAATTTTGACTTATGTCTAGTTAGGATATTTGAGGGTACAATTTTTACATGAATTTTGACCAAAAAAATTTGTTGCCAGTTTTTGATGCCAAATTGATTTAGAGGTCAAACCATGAACAAAAAGCCAAACCTTATGAAAATCAGATGAGATTTGACCGAGATATGGGGTTGGGAAATTTTGACTTATGTCTAAATAAGTATTTTGATGGTACAATTTTTACATGAATTTTGACCAAAAAAATGTGTTGCCAGTTTTTGATGCCAAATTGATTTAGAGGTCAAACCATGAACAAAAAGCCAAACCTTATGAAAATCGGATGAGATTTGACCGAATTATGGGGCTGGGAAATTTTGACTTATGTCTAGTTAGGATATTTGAGGGTACAATTTTTACATGAATTTTGACCAAAAAAATTTGTTGCCAGTTTTTGATGCCAAATTGATTTAGAGGTCAAACCATGAACAAAAAGCCAAACCTTATGAAAATCAGATGAGATTTGACCGAGATATGGGGTTGGGAAATTTTGACTTATGTCTATATAAGTATTTTGAGGGTACAATTTTTACATGAATTTTGACCAAAAAAATGTGTTGCCAGTTTTTGATGCCAAATTGATTTAGAGGTCAAACCATGAACAAAAAGCCAAACCTTATGAAAATCAGATGAGATTTGACCGAGATATGGGGTTGGGAAATTTTGACTT